ATTAAACACTTTTAAGATGTGGAAATGTGAACATGATTATTCTTTTAAAATTAATGTCAAAACTTAGATTAATTCCTAACCTGTATTCATGTCATCTGTGACTCCCATTAGTTAACAAATTTCGAAAGATGTGAAACAATTTGGTACACCTGAAATTTGAAAGCTTTATATGTTTAACTCACTTTCTTTGGACTTCTGGTTTATTATGATGCAGTTTAAAAACTCACAACTGTGAATAACCCCAACTGTGAACATTTCAACTATATTAGTTTTCATTCTGATTTATAGTGTGTGAGTGCATAAGTTCACACCACATTACTTATCCCTAATTAGAAGGAAAATTGAAGGATCAGTAAAGTTGTGGTTAGTTCTTCCTACTTTCTCCTCATAAACTCACAGAGTTAGAACAGCGATGGAATGGCTCAGCACCCTTCTTAGTGGTCCAAAAACACAATAAAAATATCAAGAAATCCCTACTTTCCTCCTAGGCATCTACTGATTTTAAAGAAAGGCACATGACCTCTTTAGAGCTGAATTTTCATTTTATAATTCTGATGAGAAAATATATTACCCAAGAAGGCTTGCCAGTCAATGAATAATGTATTTCAGAAAAGAATGTGTGTGATCACTTGAAAATGTCAGTCATCCTGATATAAGGGAGCTTACTCACATCCTGATACATAGAACTCTGGAATGTTTTACATTAAATGAAACAATCAACCAAAACACATCTACCTTAGAGTCTTTATGCACACAATGTAGCATGGAATCATGATGCTTTTGAAATAATCTGGGCAGAAATATTTATTTTTTAGCCAATATTTTCCTCAAAGATTGGTATCTGGTGTTGACAGTGTAATCTATTTGCACAGCTAGTTTTGCAATAACCTTCTAAAAATAACTGTACATAAGAAAAATGTAAATGTCGTGTACAAACAGTTGCAAATTTTTGGTAGCTGAAAGAAGCATACAAGGTGTATTGAAAAAAAAAAAATATATATATATATATAACTAATTTAAGGATGAAACACATAATTTCTGATCTATTTATACATGAAAAACTCAAGACTTTGTAAAAGAATTTATTTTGGGGGAAAAGAAAGTAAATCTTATTAGCTAGCTAGTGTACTTTTAATAGTGAAGCCAATGAACTCCAACATTTTATTAGGTACAGTACTAGATATAGGCATGCTGGTGCTGATCAATTTGAAATTCACATCATTGGAACAGTGCTAGAGCTTCACCGACTTCTAGTAGACCACTAGCAAGCTGAGCTGAGCGGTGAATTCATTAAATCTGAAATTAAAGAACTCAAAATATTTTACTTATTGCCCCACCAGAACCATGGCAGTAAATGACTGAAATGTTTATTGTTAGCTAGAATGTTCAAGGATAAAGGGCCTTTAACGTACATTCAAAACGGCTCATTCATAATGAAAGCTTGGCTCACCTTTTCCTTCAAGAACGGAAATATGCAGCTATTATGTCCTCTTGCTTTGGTTTCCTACAGGCTAAATTTCTCCCCTAGTTGTTTTTTTGTCACTTGAGAAAATTCACTCTATCTTCAAAGACTTTTAAACAAAATGTGTTGGCGCTGACACAGCATGTGCTAAGGGTAGTAGCATTGACTGTATAATAGCATAGATCCTTCATGCTTCATTTTTAAGATTTAAGAAGCCAAGAGCATATATCCCCATATGATGAATATAAAACCAAACTTAGTACAGATAGTAGGAAATATTACATTGCCCTCTGTAAGTGAAACTGATTGTGAAATCAAAGATAAAGTATAGATGGCAAAATATCTGGAAGCATTCCATAGCATAATTATCCTTTATCCTAAGACATATTTGAGGATTCTTCATACACAACTGTAAGAAATTAAATATGCATTAAAAGCCCAGTAAAGTCAATTTTAAATGGCCTATAATTTACAAAGTAACATGAGTCTTTAATCAGTACATTTCCAGAACAGTAACATCCTCACTGTTCAGGTTACCTTTTGCAATTTCATTAATCATAGCAAAATAAGACAACTAAATAATACAGACAATTAAATGGAAATGGTTATATGCATGTCTATATATTTCGATATTTTTGCTTAGAGAAAAGGTTAAACTCCACCTCCCAATACATCAGAATCGGAAATCCATCATTCCTAGTTCACATATCTCTCCACATAGCTATTAACTGATGCTCTATAACTTTTTGAGATTTTAATGGAGGGGCACACCTGACAACAGGACCAGCACATGGGCAAAAACCCTGTACATTTCTTAACTGGGATGCACAGTAGTAAAGTAGAAGCACTCTGTACGTCGATTTACTATGTGTTCAAACTGACAGAAGCAAGCCTGGGTTTTAATATAGTGCACTACTCATCATGTGGAAAGCTATCTGGACAAAAGGAGTGATAAGAACATATGATCTTTTCTTTGTAAGATGGGAAAAAATTGTTTAAAAATTAGTAGAAGGAAACACAACAAGAAGGATTCAAAGCACAGGTTTCCTAGCGTTCAAATGATAGGCAAGTCTTGAGTCAGAAGGGCTCCCCGAGTTCTGCAAGTGTTTCGTGGAAAAGTTTTCTTCTTGGTGTTCTAAGCTACAAGGAAACTGGAATTTAATATATGGAAAGACATCTTCATCTTATTGTAAGTGGGAAAAGATGAGGACACGACATTCATTTAAAATACTGTCTGCGTTCACCACCTCACAGATGTTCTAAACATCTGCATTTTGCATTTGTATCCTCCAGTAGTATATACATACTCTCCAGATGTTTTAGATGATACCTTAGCTGTAGGCATGTATTTGAGGAAGCTTAACTAACTACATAAATGATTACATTAAAACAAACAAATGAGATCTTTCCAAGCAAGTACCAATGTAATAAAAGAGCCACGGTTGTGCTTTACACTCTTAAGCAAAGGATGTGCTAAATGAAAGCAGTCTGGGATTCTGAGCAATGGGTTCAATTTACAGATTTTTTTTTAAAACATACCCCTATCAAATTTACAGAATGCTGTTAATGAAACAAGACAAAACACATCCACTTTAGTTTGTCAAAGAGGACATTAAAAAAAAAGCACATTTCTCATGAATACTATTTATTTTGTTTGTCCAATTAGTAATGTCATGAGATTACAAGTGAACTTGATTTGTACACTTTAATTAAAGAAATATCACAGATTGATTTTGTTATTTTTTTTTAATTGCACAGAGTTTAAACTACCTTGATAAATTCGACTTTCTCCCAGGGTAAATGCCTTTTCTGGAAATAAATATATAACTTGAATATATATTTGTTACTTTCTTTTTCTGAATGCATGCCTAAAATAGGTTAATGAGCACAGTCCTTAAAATACATTTAAAGTGGACCAAATCAAGATTCCATAGTATTGATTTTCCCATGTTGTAATTTAAATTGTGTAAACTGCCACTCAAACTATAAGTGCAATACCTGACATGTAATCATTTGGCAATCTTTTAGATAACAGCTGATTAATGCACTGTTGTTTGAACTGACGCACCTCATAACAGTATATATGTAACAAATTTTGTATGATACAAAACTTTACAGCAAGCTATTTGAATGTTTATTAAAAAATTATCAAAATGACATGGAAACATGTTTACTGTATAAATAAAAGCACTTATACATCATGAGTGTTCGTTATTCAATAATGTGTTACATTATAATGTTGTTTCAATTTTTCCATGACAACTTCAGACTCTGTACATTCAATGGGTCAGTTACTATTCTTTCAGGTTATCAGATATGTGGCATGAAACACATAGTCAGAGGACAATGCCTGTGGATTTTTCATCAGCCAGTTCTCATAAAACTGACCAAATGGATTTGACAGCAAACTGTAGAATAGTCAATGTCAAAATGATTAGACATCACTTCTCTCCAGGATCTTTTCAAGTATAAGCTGATTTTAAGTTTTCTGTATTTATTTTTAAAAAGGTTTTTAAAAAATGACATTTTCTTTAAAAATATTTAATTTGGTCACCAGTTAAAAATCTTTAATATCTATTTGCATTTTTCTTCAACTAGACATATATTCAGCTAAAATATATGAAAATTCATTGGTCTAGCAAATCTTCATTAATAAAGACAGGGAGTTTTTCACTTGAGAAACTAAATTAACTCTGACATCCTATGCCAGAGAACTTAATGTGAAAAACCCAGTGGCTACTTGAAATCTCTATAGAAAATTCACCAGAAATGCTGCTAATAGAATCCATAAAACATCTCTCTCTCTCTCTCTCTCCCTCCCTCCCTCCTCACTTCCCTCCCTCACTCCCTTCCCCTCCCCTCTTTCTCACACACACACACACACACACACACACACACACACATTAGTTGATGCTCTCGATCCAACATAGAATCTCTGAACAGTAGCAGATTATTTGAATTTTTTTTTTAACTTTATAAACTGTTGCCCTTACCTAGGAGTAGCACTGAGGTTTAAAGAAAAACATGTGAATGGAGACACTTCACTAAAATGTGTCATCTCCCAGAACCGATTAATTTAGAGAAAAACAACATTTTAGGTTATCTATGACATCACTTAGGAAAGAGGAAGGTATCATCATTTTAAAACTTTTAGGTGGGCACGGGGGTGCAGGCCTCGAATCTCTGCACATAATGGGGGCCAAGGCATGAATTTGTGTATTAAGATCCTGTCTCACAAAACAAAGCTAAACAAAAAAGAGATACTTTTTAAAAGAAAAAACAGGAACACAATAAAATATATTGTAGGAAAATGAACAATGAAATTAAAAAGGTTAGACAATATCTACTACCATAGGCTGACAGTCTCAAATTCAGAGAAAGTTTTAAGAGCCACAGTTTTCTTATTTATAGGCCAAGAACATGAGGCTATGTTCTCTGATGGTGTAATCAAAAGCCTAAGTGCAGATGTCCCCTCTGACTGATTCACTTCCAGAAACACCCACAGGCATGAACAAAATCAGAATTATCACTTGTAGCCTTTAGATAATAAAGTTTTACCTAGACTTTTATTATTTGGCTTCATAGACAATCTGTCATGTGACTACATTCCTATACACTATTATTGCTAAAAAACAAAACAGAACTAAGGCTCAGATACGCTGACATGAATTAGCTACATATCCTTAGCAACATTTCAAGACTGCATGCATACATCTGCACCACCATAACTTTTCCAAAAATAATATATCCCAAAACGTTATTGCATTGAACTGTGCTTTAAGGTTAAATGACAGAAGGGCTGGAGGGGAAGAGGGGAGCTTTAACAGCAAGGGATACAAAAAAGTTCATCAAACTCTTCACTTTAGGTGGTCCAGTCCGTTTCAGGGAAATGGACGGATTCTTCAATATTTCTTCATTCTTCTGAATGCGAGGATTTCAAATTGTCATAGTGCCCTGTAGAAACTAAGGCACAAGGAGTGTTATCACATGGCAATAATAAATGGGTTTTATTTGCTTGAAAGTAACTATATTTCATGAGAACTTGTACTGTAAGAAATAATGAAACTGTTTAAGACACAAGTCAAACACGTGTATCAATAAAATACTGTCTATCCCATACCGTCCATTAAGAAATATAAAGAATCCACACGTGAAAACTGCTAGCTTCAATTCAGAAACAACCGGAACAGAGTTCATGGAGAGAATTTAAATTGAAAAATTAGCAGCTTTTGTCTTTGAAAATATTCTCTCTCTTAGGAAAAGATAACCACAAGTTAACAACTCTTCATGAAAATTACATTACATTGGAAAGATTAAATAACCAAACATCTGTCATGAGATTTTATAGTATACTAACATCGACCTTATATTTGCATTAGTAAAAAAAATGTAGAAAATAATGTATCCAGCCGATATATTATTTTCATTGTTTGTGCTCTGGATCAGTTAATGCCTTTCAACATTTTATTGCATTTGTATATTTATCAATTAATTTAGTATGTGTGCGCACACGCGCACATGCGCACGCAAGCACACACACATGCATATATGCTCATGACCTCATGACCTCATGTCATGTGCATATATAGAATTTAGAGGACAACTTTCAGGAGAATGTTTTCTCTTTCCACCACATGGGTCCTGGGGCTAGAACTCGCGTTATCTGATTGGTGACAAACACCTACATGCTAAGCCACCTTCTGGTCCCACCCCTTAATTTTTTCAATAACTTAATAACAAACTAAAAATGTTACAGTATATTCAGAATACTTACATCCTCATACATGAAGTTCACAATCCCCTGTTGCAAGTGATCTCTTTGCCTAAAGAAATCTTTACACACAAAGATTATGTTTTAGGTTTATAATTGAAAACCCTTTAATTCCCAATACTGATGTCTCCTGGTACTAGCACTGACCATACTTAATTGACTTAACATTCTAAGAAACTTAAATATGAAAATCTTCTAAAACTCAGAGATTTCAATGTTTCTCTATTTATAGTCATGTTTTAAATCCTTAAGGCTATTTAGATATCATAGTGAATAAAGAAGAGAACAAATTTATAATTTGCTGAAAGAAGCAAAGACACTATACAAGAAAAAATGGCCCCATAAACTGAATCTACCTTAAATGCTTAATACCTGTCAGGGCTCGAAGCTTCACACAGCAGGCCACATAGTCATCAAAGAAAATCCTGCCATTCTTGCTGTAGCGTTTAACAATAGCAGCTAATGTCTGAGGACTCAACCTATAACCTAAGAAAGAGGGTTGACAAATTAAAACCTTCAAAGTTAAATACCATAAAATACCAAAACACCACTATTAATAAGTCATGAAATAGACTAACTTTCAAAATTCTTTCTACATCAAATACGCTGATAGCTGGGAATCCAGCATTTGACTGACCCAGAGCCCCTGAACATGGGTCTCAGTTAGAAGGCCAGGGACGTCTAAGGGACTTAGAACCAGGATATATTCCTGGTGCACGAAAGAACTTTGGGAGCACATTCCCCATGGAGGGATACTCCCTTAACCTCAAGGTAGGAGGGAGGGCCTAGTCCCTCCCTACTCCAAATGACTTGAAAGATTTTGATGATTCCTCCTGGAAGGCCTCATCCTGTGAAGTGGGTGGGGAATGGGATGAAAGGGGGGGCGGTCAGGTTGGGGGGCATGGGAGCATGGGAGAATGGGAGAGAGAGGGAACTGGGATCAATATGAAAAATAAGAAATAATAATAATAATAATAATAATAATAATAAAATTTAAAAGCCACAAAACAACAAAAACAAATATATCCTATTTATTTTTGGCAGGACTGAGGAATGACTGCAAGTGCTTACATATTGAAAAGAGGCAAGAACTCTACCACTGAACCAAAGCCCTCAAAAGTACATTTTAGAAATACATTAAGCTAATATAAAAAATGGTAAGGCACCAAATTCATTAATAATTCCACTAAGTGGTACATGCCTGATGGAATTCTAACTTTGTAACAAAATCAATTCTAAAGAAAGAAAACAATTATATTCTCTGGTATTGAAAATATATTTTTATTCCAGGAGACAGTGGCATACTCTCTTAATCCCAGCACTTGGTAGGCAGAGGCAGGTAGATCTCTGAGTTCTGAGTTTCAGGCCAGGCTGGTCTACAGAACGAGTTCCCAAGACAACCAGGGCTACACAGAGAAACCTTGTCTTGAATTACTCCTGGGGGTATTTGGGGTAGGGGTTTTAACATTTCAACATTGCAGCTTTTAGAGTATCGAAGGAAGGATCATTATTTATCAAATGCTGTATTTCTAATCCAATGTCTGACTTTTTTTTTCCTAAAGAATATCTGAAAATTAACCTGCTTAACAAGAAAATGTTATTTCTTCTGAAAGTGTTTCTACCCTTCCCACATATATATTATATCATTAGTTTTTCTTCAAGCCCCATTGCTACTAATGTTACTGAGTGTGTACATCTGTCTATATACAGTTTCTGATCATGGACTTCAGTATTAAGTGCTTTGAGTCAGTTTTAGATTCTACAAATATGACTGCTTGCTTGCTTGCTTTCCTTTGAAAATATCTGAAACCAGGGATGTTTAAAAAGAATGAATATAAAATAATAGAAACAGTAATTAGGAGATTCTATTTTCTGCACTCCAAGCATGATCCTAATTAGTGAGACGAGTACATATAACTCAAGAGAATGGTGCATTATGGCCAACATATTAATGGATCAGTAGATTTAGGAAAAAAAAATAACACTAATCCCACCAAAGATAAAATCAGTGCCAGAAGGAAAAACTCCAGCTATAGTTGTAATAAAATATAATCCATAGAGCTAGGGGCCAAGACCAAGACACTACAAAGTAAAATAAATCACATATATATATACATATATATATATATGATATACATATGATTTCATATTTAAGATATATATATATATGCAATCATTTATGTGAGATCATATACCACATATACTATATATATTATATATGTTATAAACATGCTTAAAGTAAAAGCCATACCAAGACACACAAACCAACTTCTAGTGAGTTACGATCTGGATGTGGTATGAATACAATCCCTAAAAATTTCCCATAACTTGAATGACTTTAAAAATACTTGAATGTATTAAGTTAGAATAGTCCAAAAATAACACAATCTTTGATTACAGTTTGAGGGGGCACACGTGACACAGCAATTGTTTGTAGGTCAGAAGACAACTTTGCAGGAGTCAGCTCTCACCTTCTACCATACGGGCCCAGGAAGTCAAATTCAGGCCATCCAACTTGGCACTAGATGCTTTTACCCACTAAGCCTTCTTTGAAGGCCCCAGAATAATCTTTCCTTACATTGAGATGTTTGATGAACCCATTTACTTTTTGAAAAACAAATTTACTAATTTTTAAAAATTACCCTTGAGGGACTGGAGAAATGACTCAGAGATTGAGAACACTGACTGCTCTTCTAGAGGTCCTGAGTTCAATTCTCAGCAACCACATGGTAGCTCACAAACCATCTATAATGAGATCTGACACCCTTTTCTGGAACTCAGGCATACATGCAGTCAGAACACTGTATACATAATAATTATGTAAATATTATAAAATACTTATAAAAATTTATACTCAAAGGTAGAGTTCAACCAATTATTATTATAGGTATTATTATAGTATTATTATATGGCCAGGATTTTGCCTAGATATGAAAATAAAATGTCTATTTGTATAACTAACCTGAAAAAAATCACAAGTTTAAGCTCATTAACATATAAGCCCATGTGTCTTGAGCTCACATTTTAATTTTCAAACAGGTAATTTTCATGTATATACATTTTGTTTATAAATAACTGTGAATAAAATTCCAAGATAAGAGAATTAAGAAAATCATTTAAAGTTAGGCAAAACTACATAAAGTATGGCTCACACTCAAAACACAGGAGACCAAGGCAGAAGGATCTCAGGGAATTTGAGGCAATGGGTTACGGTGAACAGAGTGAGAATCTGGATCAGAGGGAGAGAAAGAGAGAGTAAGAGAGAGAGAGCATAAAAGAGGGCAAAGTACACTGCATTACATGTTAGGAAATTGAGCATCATTGTACATTACCACTCTTTGCAAGTGAACCAAGAACCTTAGCCTATAAGAAGTACAATGAAAATAGTTACATCTCTTTAAACTAATCTGAAATGCAATTCTCGCAACTTTCACAAGTTCTCCTGTATTATTTTGTGTATTCTATACTGTGTAAGAAGAAAGATAGAAAACAAAAAAAAAAAAAAATTTTTCTGTTGAAAAGCTAGACTCCAGTACAGACACATGTGGTCAACAAGCCTTTCATGAATAATTGAAGAGTCCACGAAGTTACAAAAGAATGGAATGCAAGTGGTGGATGCTAGTTAGCATTAGGGGTGATAGTTATACTCAGGGAACTCAGAATGAATGAAAGATTTTCTTTGGAAGAAATATCAAACAAATTTACAGAATAGTGATGGGGCTCACTAGTCTGGTACAATGCTAGTCTTGAATATGCAAGACTAAGGATTCAATCTTCAACACTAACTACAACAAACAAAATAAAGAAATAACAATAATAATAACAATAATAATGATTGTGTTAGTGTCTTTGATCATGACTGACCTACAACTATGAGCCTCAATTAAGGGATACACTAAACAAAAAGTTCTTTATTATTAGCAAATTAAAGCAACCAAAATTCATAACTTGTAAGCTGAAAAGATCACTCAGTGGTTAAGAACACTTTTCTGATCTTGCAGGAGGAACTAGGTTCAGTTCCTAGTATGCACATTGTGGCTCATAACCTTCTGTAACTCCAGTTCCCGGGAAGCTGACACCCTCTCCTGGATTCCTGGAGCAACAGGCATACATACAGTACACATACATACTTGCAGACAAACTCTCAAGCTCATAAAAGAAAACAAATTTTTTGTAAATATTTAAAAAATCCATAACTTGATCAATGAGTGAAGACAGATTTTTAAAGGATGTTAATAGTCTTACCCATAAGAGCAATGGCTTGACTCAGCTCATGATGTTCTACAGAGCCACTTTGGTCTTGATCAATTGTCATGAAGTTCTGCTTCCAGGCTGTAAGAGCTGCCCAAAGCTCCTTGAATTCACTGAATCCCATTTTTCCTGTATAGTCTCTCTAACAGTTTTATTAACAAAAATAATCTTTGGTATCTGAGACAATTTATCTGATTCTGTACCTCAAATCACTAACTAAAAAGAACATATTCTTGTGTAGTTAGCTGGCAGGACCCATTCTATGAATAGACTTCTGCATGAAAATGAGACTACATAGACTTTATAAAATACAGTTAGCTCTAGAATTAATAACTGGTTTAATGTTAAGAAAGCAATGACTCCATATTTTGGCATTTCCCATTTTTACTCAAGGATACATCCAACATGGCTATCATAATTCTGCAGGTTTCCAGACTGAAGGCTGTAAAATATATTCAGTATTGAAATGTTAGACTCTTCTCAGTTTTAACTAATATAACATGACGACATTCTTCACTTTCAAAAATATTTAAAAAATACAAACAATGTAAAATTACTATAAGCAATAAACAATTATTGGCTGTTAAACATTTAGAATAATAAAAATAAAACACATTTTTAAATGACTATCTCCAAACTACTCCCACTTACTGAAGACAGTAACCAGGTAAGCAATTACAGAGTATCCTAAAGTTTTACTGTGATGAACACATTACAGGCACTTTGCTTTGCCAGGAGTCTAGGCAGAAAGCTGGTTTCAACCTTCAAATCACCAGAGACAACAAGAAGGAGATTTACCTGGATATCTGCTATATACCCGGAAGTCAGAAAAAGTACAGGACTTAAAGAACATGCAAGAGAGTAATGAAAAAGGACATCAGAGAGGCAAAGAAGGGTCAAATCAGTAAATTCTGAAACAGCACTCATTTGGCCAATGAACATCCCAGTGGTGATATAGCAGAAGAGAAATAGACCACTTCCTCGACTTGAACTGCAGTTTACAAAAGACTCAAGGTGAAAGGAGACTGATGCACAGATAAATCATTTGATGGCTTAGTAAAGAGCTGTGGTGAGAAAGGATGAGCTGCTGGACTGAAGCACTGTCCTCTCTTCAGAAAGGGGAAGGGAAGATCAGTGCAAGCCACCTTAGAAAAGGAGTTCTGGGGGGCCTGGCAATCTTTGGAGACACAATCTCACAGCAAACACCCTGGTCCTCTGGCTTCTACTACCTTTCCCCCAATCTTTCTGCAATGATCCCTGAGCTGAACTACAGGCAATTGAGAAATGCAGAGAGCAGAAGAAATAGTCTTCCCGTGGGAAGAGCACACTGGTTGCTTATCCAATACAAATGGTCAGCCCTGAAAACATACATACAAGCAACATTATATAGACAAAGAAGGGTGGATTTATATATTTAAGAATATATATGTATTAACACAATGAGAAACAAGGGCCATGGATTTGAAAGAGAGAGCAAGGTGGGGTTACATCAGAAAGATTAAAGGGAGAAAAGTGAAGCTGGAAAGCATATACTTATATTATAAATGAAAGGAATAATCAAAAAGAATGAGGTTAGAAACATTAACATTCCCATATTTATTTACAATGAAGCCACAAGAAAAAAATAGTTCTGTTTTTCTGGACTTTATTATAATTATATTCAACTAATTGGGCTGACTTATCTAAAATAGGAGGAGTTTAGCAAAATTCAGGTTAGCATACAAGATTCTTTTAACTCCTTGATATTAAGAAAGTAAATAAATAATTTAGATTCACTTCCTTTTATACTGCTTGATAACATTTTGAAATCTTTAAAACCAATGAGATACGTTGCAAAATACCTAAAGAAAAATTATAAAATATTCTGCTGGGAACAACAGCTGGTTTTCTTTAGCTGTTCTGGATGTTTGCCAGTGCTAGGGTTATTGGCTACAGTGTACGAAGAACAACACTGCACACTCTCAGTGAGTGCTTATTGGTACAGAAATGTGAGTGTATTACTGCATCATTGTTGTACAGAATACCCAAAGAAATGTTCTGCCTGCATGTAACCTGCACACCAGAAGAGGGCATCAGATATCATTATAGATGATTGTGTACCACCATGTGGTTGTTGGGAATTGAATTCAGGACATCTGGAAGATCAATGGTTCTTAACCTCTGAGCCATCTCTCCAGCCCGGCTGGTCACGTTTTGTCTACAGTCAGAAGCAAGGAGAAATGAATGCTTACTCCTTTTCCTCTTTTCACTACGACTTGAGCCCATGACATGGTGCAGTTCGTACTCTGGGTGGGTCTTCCTAGAAATGCCCTGATAAACTCACCCTGTGGTGCATGTTCACAGGGAAACCCCAAGTCCAGCCATGCTTGTGAGGAAGGCTAGCCATTGCAGTGGAGCACATGATTTAACACAAACAGAGCAAATGCATAACAGTTCCATGTTTATAAATAAAGAAATCTGAGCCAAGAAAAGCAGATTTCTAATTTCATAAAGGTAGTATATAGAACCACTAATACTGGGGCCTAATGTTCCTCCACAAACTACTGGAAATTGGGGAAAGTTACATGAAAAAAAAAATTCTGTAGTATGTCATCTTTTTTTGTTTTGTTTCAGTTCAACTTGGTTCACATTCAGGAAGTGGAATAATCTAACCAGATTAAAACTAAAATTAAATTAACAAATAAGCATATGTATATATATGTATGTGTATATATATATATATATATATATATATATATGCAAGTTATAAAGTCAGGGGTGTGGCTATTTAGTGTTTATGCATAAAAAGAAATGCTGAGAAACAACCTAGTTACCTTGGGAAAGATGCCAAACATGTAAGAGTTGGCAGCTTCTGAACATGTGTGTGAAGGTGGAGCTAAAACCAGAGCTGAGTGAAGGGCTATTTTAAGAGCATGTGAAGACCCAATCCCTCTCTGCCTCTAGTTGGATGGCTGTCACACCTACCCTCTCACCCAGTAGGAGTTTTGCTTTCTGGAGATGTTTCTGGACTGTAGGACACTAGGCACAATGGAATGAACTGTACTGAAAGCAAGCCAATTAACTAAAACTTTTTTGCAGACTTGAGAACCCTGGAACACATCAGAGAAGGCAACCCAAAGGAAACAAATTTCCCATGACACTGACAACTGAATCCCGCAGTGAAGCTAAACAGCTTCACCTTCCAATGAAGCTCTCAGTCAACCAGACCAGGGCTTATACTCAGTATTTTCATGAGACATGAGCAACAAAGTGTCATCTGACACCCAAGAAATGACAACTAAGATAACCAAATGAGCTAAGAAAAAAAAAATGTTGAGGAAGAAAAGGCAACTTTTGTGAAAAAGCACAGAGGCTCTTAGCTCTTACAAAACACACCAGCAAAAATGAAAGACACAGAAGGTTTACAAAAGGAAGCTGAGAACATTCCATAAAAAAGAAGAACAGACGACTCAGCCCCAGGAAACACAACTGAAGAAAATTTCCCAGAACAAAAAAGTACAAGAGATTCCAGACTGAACACACCCACACAGTTCCCCAGGCAAGACCACAAGGCTGCCCTACACTGTGAAATGTCAGAGCAGCAGGGGGCGGGGACCCTGTGAGGGACAGAATGGTCCCTCAGCTTCCAGAGACCAACAACAGTCTCTCCTAGGTGAGATACACACTGAGTTGATGGCAGCTGACACTGGACACCCTTGTGAAAATGGCAACAAGTAAACAACAGAATCAATGGCAGGAATGTCAATGGCAAGAGCACTTAAAGCTCCCAGTCCCTTTCCTGCCTCTGTCTAGGTAGATGCTCTATTGCTCTATGAAAAAAAAAGTTCTTTTTCTTTTTCAATTATATGTGGAAATGGGTTGTAGCGGAGAACTCCATGCCTTGACAAGCAGCCGTTCAAATGACTGAAACAAAACAAAAGCATTTTCGGACACTTGACGTTTCAAAACATGATGCCAATCCATGCCATTTTTCATTAGAAGTTACTTAATGAGATATCTCAGTAGAACAACACATTGAGTTTTAAAATATTAGATGATAGAGATAGAATAAAAATGAGAGATGCAGCTCCAGAGAGGGAAAGAGTTGCAGAATGAAAGAATGAGACCCACCCATAAAACACAGAGCTTCTAATGAAACCCTGGGGGGACCAGAAGGATGCAATACTGAGCTGTCAGGAAAAAACAAATCACCGATTTCCCAAACTCCAAAAGGCAGGGAGTGTGTCCAGAAATGACCATCTTGGCTTAGCTCAAGCTGGACTATTGGAGGATTTTTGACTATTAGATAAAAACCAGCATGCCTCAGGAACTTTTGAAACAGGTTCCCAACTGACTCTTGCTCTAGAAGAAGGGACATATGGCTGCCCATGGATTATTCCTGTGGTTGGCTATCATGCTAGCCTCCAGGCACCAGGCAGCTACAATGCCTTTTCACAAGAATCTGCTATATTTTTCTAGGGACCCACTCTCTTCTGGGCCCTTCTCACCTCCCCAGGCTTCCCTCCTCCCAGATACCCATCTGTTCTCTATAAAAGGACAAAATTTTTCCTCCTGCCCCACCCTCCCATTCCATACTATTCTTGCTCTTTCTATTCCCTGTTATTCTCCCTTCTCTCAAAGACAGCTCAAGGCTACGCCCAGTGTCTTTCTTTTTCTCTCTGCTTTGGACTCTTCCAGACACCTCTGGATTTTTTTTCTCTCTCTTATCCACAATAAAGATCTTCCCCTAATGGAACAGCCATTTCAGCAGTCTCTTTACTGGACCCCTCCCATACATTAACCACTGTGAATTTTGGGGAAAAGAAAAAGCTTCACAGAAAAAGAAAAGTAATCGGACACTGTGGCAAGACACAGCTGTAAGCAGTATGTAGACAGCAGAGATAGGTAAATGCTGACGAAGGTCCCCAAACCATCACAATCCATCAGCAGGGCATAGGATGGAGATTTTTCACATGGAGAAGTGGAGTGGTTTTAAGGTTGGAAGAAAGTTAAATACTCAACAATCAATAATCACAAAGCTGCAACTATATAGTGGTAAAACTATGACACTCTGAGATCTGGAAGCAAACTTTGAAAACAGCCATTTACAAGCATCTCAAAGATGTTTCTCCTGAGCAGTTAAAGTTGAAAGTCAGGAGTGTAGATGGACATTTGTTTTAACGATACCTTGTACAGAAGTATCTGATTCTTCAAACATGGCCTATCCTACATAGTTTATAATATTTTTAATATTTTAAGGTATGGAACTAAAATGCTGGAAATGAATTTCCTATTTCTAATTCCCTGTGCAACAAGAAAGGGAAAACAGAACAGCATGTGGCCTCACGTGCGTAAGTTCCACTAATTCCAGACTGTGTCAAGCATCTCTGAAGTTCTTCTGCGTCCACCTCACCATCCTGCAAAAGGAATGCAGATTAAAAAAATAAGGATGGCCACGGGCTTTAATGTGCAGTGGCACCAAAAGACATTAACTATGTCCTGCACTAGTGCCACCAGGAGACAGCAATTCCAAAATGGTATAAACCACAAAATTCATTAGATAAATATTGCCAGCAAAGGCACACCACAGACCGTGTAACTTGGTTAACCTGGTCCCTGAGTCTGAGAAGTAGGACAATGCCTTTGTCTTCTCCCAGTCAGAACGCAAAATGCTTTGTCACTTTAGTCATGGTCACCTTTGTCATACACACTTCCTGAGAGCACCTAAGTGCTCCTTTCACATCTGTATCACTGTACTTGGAGGGAGTTTGCCAAATTACGAATGCCATAATTATCCTTAAAACTGCGACTTAAGAAAAATCAGTATATTTTTAAGAGTGACCCTGGGTTAGAAAAAATTACTTCTCCAAGAACATGGGCATCAGAAGGCCTTTCCATCACATTCTACTCAAATAATCATTACCAATAATTGTCTATCCTGAAGAAACCATTTCAAGCCAATATTATGTTTCAAGAAACAAAAAATTATAAACAGTTGATTGATGTAGTGTAAGAAGAGATAAGCGGTAAAATCTGAAGGAGTTGCCACTGGTGTCATACAGAAAAGCAAAACAAATGGATAAAAACCCAGTACTGATTAGCTTTCCAGATCAGACTTTGGGAAATCTAATAACAGGCAGTTTATTCCCAATGTATTGAAGCCCAGTATAATTGGAGCGGGGGGGGGGCGGCGGCGGCGGCGCAGGGGAAATGTCCCAGTGTAATGCAATCCCTGTTGCACAAAGTCATGTGATTACATGGAAACTCAATTCAGGGTACCTGTTATTTCTTCCAAGAAGATGGGTTCTAGAGATAGCTACCTGTACTAGCTTAAGGGCCTAAGGGTCTGGCCTGGTCTTGGTTATTTGGGCTATTATCCATGTTTGGCTCTGGTTGTGGGACTTTGGGGGAGCCTCTGGCTATGACTCATTTAGATTATCAGCTACCTCCAGTCTTAGTTGTAAGCGCTTGATATGGCCTAGGCCAACTGGCTTTTAATCAGTTCCAAGTCTCAGCTTTCTGGACAGAAAAACAGGTTTTTCATCTTTCCCATTGGAAAGACAATCTGTGTGTTACCATTCCTGGTTTCTCTGGAGATCTGAGGGCTCAAGGACCTTCATGCTATGCTCCAACCAAAAGCAACTGTACCTAAATCTGACAGCTCTACAGCCAGGCCACTGCCGTGAAAGTTCAAACCAAACACCAGGTGTGGTCAACTACTCTTCAGTAAAGAAGAGCTTTTTGTTTTGTTTTGTTTTGTTTTGTTTTGATTTTTAAAACTATCCTCTCACACACCAACAACAACCATTATAATTGTTTTTCTCTTTAACTCTTAAGTGGGAAGATACTATTCTACTTGAGATTGAAATTAATAAGAATTTCTAAGCCTTGTCAGTTTCATCCCATTTACAAATCAGTGCAATATTCAGGCAGCATAATGATAACATAATTCAATGAGCAGACAACATAAAATTAAAACATCCCACCAATTGAACTAAAATCATAAGAAATAAATCCTGTGAAGTCTGGTGTTTTCTGCACAAGTCCACTTATCCCCACACAGCAGGGTCATTATAAATACTTTTTTATGCTTCTAAACATTGAAGACAACTTTGTAGGATATAGAGCTACTTAGTGGCAAAACTAGTTGAAAAGGAAACCTAGAAAAACATTTTGTGAATTTCAGTTAAAGAATATAAAAAGTATTTTAGGATCTTGTCTGTTCTGAGGGAAGGGACATTAAGAAGCATGTTTTGATTAAATAAACCTGAAATTGGTGGATCACACATCACACTTGCACTTCCTGTATTATGCACAATGGTTCCTGCTTTCTTCACTCGCTGCTTTGCACAGATACAATGTGGATCAAAAGAAGTCTATTTTATAATTAGAAAACTGTACCCTGACTATTAAAAAACTCCTGCTTCATTCACCCATTGAAAAATCAAAGGCTATATAATGCAGAAATCTATCGGCTAACTTTCTCAACACTTTTGACGTTTTACTTGCTTAATGTTTATTTTGCTTTGAGATGGGTTATCTTATTATGCTGCCCAGGCTAGACTAAAATTCCTGGGCACAACAGTCTCCTATGCAGGCCTCCTGGGCAGCTGGGACTACAAGCAATCTACTACACCATGATGACTATTTACAGATTCTTCATCTTATGAAGCTTTTGCAGACATAGAAGAAAAGTCATCTATGTACATAATCTTTTCTCTCAAGTTACATTATTCCACCCAATTATCTCCTAAAAATAAGCAAATTTAACCATGACAAAATAATCCGCCTACAGTTTACTGTTTTATGAAAGTGAAGTCATCAGACAGGTTAACTAGACTTTGGACATTTAAGCAGAGTCAATGTGAAAGTGAGGCAATTGAGCCCTGTGTGCAACCACAAGGTCAGACCCTGTCTTAAAAGCTGAGAAAAATGAGCTTTTGCTCATCACACTGTCCTTACATTACTTAAAGAAAATCACATTAAAGATCCATTTGTTTTTATTACTGGTTTTTAAGAATGCATTTAAGTTGTGTATCCAAGACCAAAGTCTCTCATGTTCTAATCCAGCCTGATCCCCAAGTGACTTAATACAGCAAATCATATATCCCTAACCCCAATAATTGTTAAACATATAAATAAACACCAAATAAATATGTTGTGCTTGTCTAATATATGTATATATTACCATGGGTTCACATACTCATCTCTCTCCCTCTATCTATCTCTATCTCTCTCTCCCATTGAATTGGAATATAAAGTACCACTTTCACCATTGTCTTAGTCAGGGTCACTATTATTACTGCTGTGATGAAACAATACAACCAGAGCAACTTGGGGGAAAAAGAAATTGGTTTCTTTGGCTGACACTTCCATTTCACTGCTCATCGTTTGAAGGAAGTCAGGTAGGAACCTGGAAAAGGGAACTGATGCAGAGGCCATGGGGAGCTGCTCTTCATGGCTTATTCAACTTGCTCTCTTATAAAGCCCAGGTGAGGGAGATTCAGAGTCATCCTCCCTGCCCCTGACAACATTGCCCCTTTCAGTCAAATAAGCAGTATACTAGCCATCATGCTTAGAGACATCTAATAGTGATGACACTAACTAAACTCAGTGCATCTCACAACAACAATGACAATGAAGGACATGCATGTAGGGAAGAAGGGAAAGTAATGGGGGAGACTATGAGAGGTTATATGATATGAATGGACATTATTCTCGTGTGAAATTGACAAAAGCAAACTCATCAGAAGTTAAGAAGTGAAGTAATTATGACTAGCTTCCTCTTTAATCTCAAGAACAGTATTATTCTACATGAGTGTAAAGACATAAGCTTTATAGACGTTTTTAAAAGATACACTACGTGGGAATAGTTGGCATGTCTTTGAAATAGTGATCATTTATCGACTTGTATTTGGTAAAAGATTTATCACCTCACCTGTCCAGCAACAGCTGTGAAGTAAGTCCACATAGAGTCATCAGCAGGGGAGTAGCTGTCAGAGTAGGCCAGGTACCCAGGGTAACCGCCAGAGAACATACTGGGACCTGGCATTGGCTGGCCCATTTGCATCTGCATTCCTGGAATATGACCGCTGAAGTTTCCAAACTGTTGATGGAAAAGACAAGCTTGGTAATAAAAAGTTGAGCTACAAAACTTAAGTTAAAATGAATCATTTATTATAAATCACCTAAAGACTATAAATCCAATGGCAAAATCTTCCAAACATATCTGCCACTGAAACTTTAACTACAAGATGCTAGAAGATCTGTATTAAAATACAGTTCATCAACATGTTACCCAACAGTAAAAGAAGTATAAAAGATAAGTTTCAAGCCTCTAATTATGGGAACATATGTAGAGGAGAGGGCTGTGCATGTGAGTAGGTACCCATAAAAGCCAGAGGACGTCTGAACCACTGGAGCAGGAATGACAAGTTGCCTGATTCAGGTACTGGGAAATGAGCTTGGTCCTTTACATGAGTGTTATGTGCTCTTAACCACCGAGCCTTCTCTCCAGGCCCTAGTCTCTAAGAACCTTTAAAACAGTGGTTCTAAGCCAGGCAGTGGTGGGTGGTGGTATGAGACTTTATTCCTAGCACTCGGGAGACAGAGGAAGGTGGATCTCTGTGAGCTCGAGGCCAGCCTGATCTACAGAGCTAGTTCCAGGACAGTTAGGGCTACAGAGAGAAACCATCTCGAAAAACTAAAAACCAAACAAAGAAAACAGTGGTTTTCAACCTTCCTAATGCTGCACCCATTAATGCACATCCTCTTGCTGTGGTGACCCCAACCATAAAATTATTTTCATTGCTACCACATAACCATAACCTTGCTACTGTTATGAATCGTAATGCTTGTGTTTTATCTGTGTTTTCTGATGGTCTTAATCGACCCCTGAGAAAAGTTTGTTTGACTCCCAAAGGGGTCATGACCAACAGGTTGAGATCAAAACTTTACAAGAAGAATGTTTATGACTTTAAGGAAAACCAAAAGCACACATAAACAGAAAGTAAAGCCTAGGGTTTCACCTACAGTAAACTAAACAGTACATTTCTAGACATAAGCTTAGTTTAGAATCGGGTAAATATAATCAAACTATGACCTAAGCATGGGAAATCACAGAGCTGAAGCAACTTCCACTGTAAGAGATGTATTTTGTTTTCCAAAAAGTATAGTGACCAGAAAAAAAAAAAAAGCACAATCCCAATCCAACCAATCCAAGTAGTCTTCCCAGGCAGCAAGAAATCTACAATACTACTGATGAACAGCTAACAATCAGTGAGGGCCTTTGTACTGCCTGAGCACCATCCTTAGTACTTTCTAACTTTTATGCTGATTTTCATCAGTCTGTGAGAATTGAAAGTAGTTTAACCTTTTGCCTTTGAGTATCTGGAACTTCAAGGACTCCCGAACAGGCCAGGTACTCACACACAGTCTGATAACTGAAGCCATCCACGTACATGTCTCTAATTATGACTATGGCTTCTCCCTTTTTACTTGGTATAGATTTGAATGCCTTAGAAAAGCACTTTACTTTGCATTTTTATGAGTCCAGAGAGGGAAGCAGCATTAAGGCTGTTCATTATTCAATTCCGAACAAAAACTCTCTTGTCCTGCACATTTGCAGCATGAGCAAAGACCGCCAGAGGGCACAAAGAGAAAAGAATTACAAGAATGAGGGAGAAACGGGGGCATGACTTGGAAGCTGCTGTGGATTGTTCACGTTCCTGGGCTCTGGTAAAGACTGAGGCATGAAGGAAGTACACGGGACTATAGGAAATGCATTCGGGAAAGGGGATGGGGTGGGTCATGAAACATAGATCCTAGTTCCATTTAACAGCTGGAATGAGTTATCAGACTTGGCAATAGCACTTTTAGATCCACGTGACTCCAAGCTGGTTACTTCCTTATGCCAACACTTTTTAAAATTCATTTATTCATTCATTTATTTATTTTATGTGTATGAGTGTTTTTGACTACATACATGTATGCAGGTTCTACATGTGCAGTGCTTAAAGAGTTCAGAAGAGGGCATTGGATCCTCAGGAACTGGAGTTACTGACAATCGTAAACTGCCAAGTGGGTATGAGTTACAGGCAGTTGTAAACTGTCATGTGGATGCTGAGACTCAAACCCTAGTCCTGTGGAAGAGCAACCACTGCTCTTAACCTCTAAACCATCTCTCCAGCCTTGCCAACACTGGCAAAGAAAACAAGTTCATATAGTGTTTGTCTAAGCTGGAGTCACCATGTGTGATAGTTTAGGCAAAGAAAAAGATTCTACAGAGAAAGGTCCCAAGTACAATTCACCCAGGAAAGAGGAAAGAGGCAAAAGCCTTTAGAGGCTTTGGGAAAGAAACCAAAGGGGGCCACTGGAAGTGAAATGAGTGTTCCAGTGCTGCCTTATCAAGAGCGGCTTTTCTAGTTGACAATACCATTAACTGGCCAAATCCAGCACTTGGGACTAGAAAAGAAATTCAGCCATTAAGCAGCTTGATAATGGCAGTAGGACACTGAGTGTACATGGACTCATCCAAGAAGTCTATACATATACTGCCACCATCCATCAAAGAGCTGACTCAGTTAACAGAACTTTAATTTATAAAGCAACAAATTGTAGACTTTCCCAGCAGACAGGGCATGTTTAGTAAGTCTACACTGGCTCTCAGTGGAAGTTCACTGATTCTTGATAACTTGAAGAATGCTTGTGGATGTTTGATTTACAGCATAATAAATCAAGGGGGAATTCTTTCAGTGGTGTCTAGGACAGATTCTCTCACCACTCTATACCTATGTGGAAAGAGACATCAAAAACATGCCTAAACCCTGAAACTCAGGACTCAAGAGAATGAAAATTTAAAGTATTCATTGAAATTGGCAAGTGATGCAATCTCTTTGTGCTGGATGCACACAATGAACTTGAACACTTTCAAGGAGACTGGAAACTGCACCCAGATAACCTACCTTGACTTGTAGCACAATGAACAAGTAGACCTCCCACCTACAACAGAAAACCCACCCCATTTAAATCATCATGGCCTGAGACATAACAGATTGTCAGGAATACTCAGACCATTAGCAAAATGCCATAAATTTGAGGACTTAAAATTAAAAAATAGTTTCAGAATATGAGACTGACATGCTGCCTACTGCACTATCATAGAGCCCTCATCTAGTAACTGATGGAAACAGAAGCAGACACCCACAGCTAAACACTGACCCAAATGAATCCAGATGCAGAGAGGGAGGACAAGACCAGGCTACAGAAATCCACAGAGACAACTGACCTGAACAAGGAGGAGCTAATGGGCCCCCAGACTGATAGCTGGGAAACCAGCATTGGACCAACTCAGAACCCCTGAATGTGGGTCTCAATTAGAAGGCCTGGGCAGTCTAAGGACAGTGGAACCAGGATGTATCCCTGGTACATGAAAAGACGTTGGGAGCACATTCCCCATGGAGGGATACTCCCTTAACCTAGAGACAGACAGGAGGGAGGGCCTAGTCCCTCCCTACTCCAAATGACTTGACAGATTTTATTGACCCCCTCCTGGAAGGCACCACCCTCCCTGTGGAGTCGGGGATGGGGGGGAGAGGGGATGGGATGGGAGGGTGGTTGGAGGGCATGGGAGGGAGGGAGAGAGGGAAAATGGGAGAGAGGGAGAGAGAGAGAAGGAACTGGGATCGATATGTAAAATAAGAAAAAAATAAATAAAATGTTAGAAAAGTGAAAAAAAATTTAAAAAACAGTAACATTCAACACTACACCTGAAGTCTTTTATCCAGTCTTGTAAAACTGAATAGCTGGACCTTAGCTAGAAATCACTTTCAATTACATCCAGAGGGCGGTCCATCTCAGTTTTCCACAATGTATTCCCTCAACGTAAAACATGGTAGAATCAACAAGATCTCATTTTTGAATTCTCTCCAGAGCTAAAGTGTAAATTAATTGAGCTGAATATGAAAGACAATCAATCGGTTAACATTACTTCTTTTAGATTTGGACCTTGGACCAGCATGTTAGAACTGAATTCAGGCACTAGCTAGCTAGCTTACCAAGATACCAGTGAATGTGTTGGGACTTATTTCTCTTGAGGTTCTACTATTACACAATTTTCCTGAGACACTTTGGAAAAAGAGGTTTCTCGATGCTATGGATCATACCCCAAAGATACTTCTGCACAATCTTGGAAACCTTAGGAAGTTAAGAGAATTGGACCTAGAGGAGAATAAATTGGAATCCTTGCCCAATGAACACGCACATCTTAGGGATTTACAGAAACTGTTTTAGACAAAAAACCAGGGGACCACTCTTCCAGTGGCACTGGTCATCTTACCAGTCTTAAACATCTTGTCTTTGGAGAGGACCTAATTACTTACCTTCCTGAAGAAATTAGTTCCCTGGAGAAGTTAAAACTGTTTGAACAGCAACCCCAACCTGATGGCCTTCCCTTTGAGCTGGCTCTCTACAACAAACGTTCAATCATGAGTATTGAGTACTCTCACTTAGTCAGCTCCCACCTCAAATTGTTGCTGGAGGGCCTTCCTTCATTATTCAGTTCTTAAAGATGTGGGATCCATATTGGGCCATGATCTGATACAAACTGCTGGTCCCACACAGTGCTCAAACACACTCTGATTAATGTTTCATATCTACATTCTCTATTTATCTATGTACATATTTATACATGGCATATTTATAAAGACTGTATTAGTTGTTTCTGCAATTTAAAAAAATCATAGCCATATCATAGCCATATATATATATATATATATATATATATATATATATATATATAGTTAAAAAAGGCTTATACAGTTTTTCTTGACAGAATTTTGATGGATGTTTTCCTGTTGTATAATTCAATATTCCAGCCTGTTAAAAATGTTGCCAGCAAATTATGAAGTTATTAAACTTAAGCGACAAAGTAGTATAGCTAGATATGTTAAATATTCTGTGGCAGCTAGTTTAAACATTAAAAAATACTTGTTGAAACAAATGACAAACTGAAACTATATACTAAGAAATAGAAACTTTGATTAATTTTATTTATTTGAATTGTGGAACAAAATATCTGAATTGAGTCTTTGGGTTCAAGGCATTAACATTCTTATACAATGAGATGAATGTCTTTCTTTAAAAATAGCAGTATATGTATGTCTCAAGGTTATTTATCTGCATACTATGGTTTTATATATTGCTCTGCCTGGGGCATCTTTCTGTTCTAGAGTTTACGTGTCTAAGCACACTACCTCCACATTGAGTTGTACTGCTGCTGAATTAACTACACGAGTTTTCCCTATATGTGGCTGTATGTGGGGCATCAGACCCAAACAACTAAGTTCAGCACAATTAACTTCTTTTAAGTTTAATTGTATAGCCCTACTGGCTGTCCTGGATTTCACTCTGTAAAACAGGCTGGGCTCGAACTCACAGGAATCCATCTGCCCCTCCCTGAGTGCTTGGATTTAAGCCACCCAACTAGTACCATTATTTTTAATACCATCTTTCCTTTGCTGGTAGTGATGCAGTTAGGAAAAGAGACACTGCACAGATGCCGTTAGTAGTTCCATGGAAATTATGTTAGGATGTGCATGTACTACTACAATTTTATTTTTCTTTCAGCTTTTAAGACCAGCAAAACTGTAAACGTGTGCCCCTTATTTTTACTCTTATTTTTGGTAGTATTGGTTTCAGCCAGTTTAATTATTGAGGAGACACATATAGCAACTATATCTTAGATGACACCCTAAAATACACTTCTCATATAATGAATGATTATTACATATAATTACATAATTCTGTTTGTGTCTTTCTGTTTGCTTTGTGTTCTTGACCCATTTTGTTGGGCATTGATTGTGTCTCAAACAGCTTCTAAAAATTATAACTATAACGTCAAGGAAAAAATTTGGACTTTTGCTTTTCCTAGCACTCAACCTCAGGTCTGAGTTTGAGGTAAAATCTGTGTTTATAATTAGAGAACGTGTAAGAATAAACTAAGAAATTAAAGATAGGCAAAGACAGAAAGCACTACAGTACTTGAACGTGCTATGAAACATTTGCAGATATTCACTGGATCTCACCACATCATCTCCTTTCTTCTGTAGTTTATCAGTTAAAAGTATTATTTATAAAATGAATTTGTTTAGTATAGTGCTACATACAACTTATATATGTATGTTATTAAAATAAATTTCATATCCAAGTACACTTATATATTAAGATTACTAGAACTTAAACTTCAGCGGTAGTGATCTAGTATCTTTTCTTGAAGAAACATGGTTTCTCAAAATGAAAATATAAAAATTGTAACAATTTGAAAATTTTTATTTAATGCTTAAAATTTTTGGAAAATACAGATGTTCCTCTCATAATACAATAGGGGTGTAGTTGAAACTTATTTATTTCATTTTCTTCCCTATGACCAAAATGAGATTTAAAAAAAATCCTTTAGGTCATGTTATAATTTTATTAGTATAGAAATAATAAAATATAAAATGATACAACTTGTGAATTCTTACTTTATTTTCATCTTCAGACTTTCTGAGGACAAGATTCTGTATGGACTAAATCTTCAGGATAGCCTGGACCCCTTTACAGTCACAGGCTAGCCTTGAACTCTCACCAATTCTGCCTTAGCTTCCAAAGTGCTAGAATGACATAGTGAGCTACCAGACTCACCTGGTTCTAGCTGGTTTGATTCTAATTTATACAAGGTCTCCGGTAGTTCAGATTAGCCTCAAGCTGAGCATGACCTTGAAGTCCTGGTAATCCTGCCCCCATCTCTCAAGTGCAGGGATTTCAGGTCAGGCTCCCACGCCCAGTTTAAGTGTTTCTGGGGTTCCAACCCAGGGCCTTGAGCATGCTAGCAAGCTTACTCACAACTGTGCCACATCCTCAGCAATGTTTGATAAGTAATCATTAAAAAAAATGAAAATTTATTGGAAATGCATCTCCTAAAGTCATGAATTATATACTTTACTAGATAAAAGTGTACTATCTAGCAGAGAACATTTTCCGTTTTGTTAACTATAACAAGTATTAAGGTGTGGACTGACAACATTTCCTTAAGGGCATGCTCAGTGCATTTCAATGACTAGTGGGGAATATACTTTGGTAAGTAAATGTTGTTAGATGAAATTCAAACAAGCAACTTCAAGCAAACCAGTTTTGGTAACGCATGTGTCAGTGTCAAAGTTGAGGGCCTGGAACTAAAATTTACTTTTAAAAATAATCATCACTTACTCTCAGGGGTAGAAATTATTTGTCTAAGGACCATATCCAAATGCTAATGTCAACTCCAACTCCTATTTAACTGTAACACATTTATTTCTCTTTTTTTTGTGGGGGGGGGACAAATAAGAATACACATAAAATACATGTTCTCTTCTGCCCCCATGGCAATGACCACAGACAGCAAGGCCACACTTGATAGCCTGATTCAATGTACAGGTCACTGATGGGAGGAGTCAAAATTGGTTTCTTTTGAAAGAGGGAAGGTCTGCCTTCCCACAAGCTGCAGTAACTACTTGTAACTCTCAGAGGTACTGAGAGGAATAACCTGGCGCCTTCCAAAAGTAAAGTCTAGAAAATCAGATTGTGCTTGTTACTACAGAAAAGTTTAAGAGGCACTGAAAGTTCGTCTCAATTTATTCCCCAGCAATTTAAAAGGCAAGGTTATTAAAAATAAATAAATCGGGATGAGGATGGCTAGAAAAACTGCCTGGATTTGGGGGGGGGGGGGGGCAAGTCGAAAAAGGTAACTGGAACAAGACATGGCTTTTTGTTCCTCCATTCTAAAACAAAATTTATAGGTCACAAACACTTCACACCCCTGGCTATAACAAGGACGTTTCTCGATGCTGTGGATCAGACCCCAACTCGCGGTTCTCCCCTGGGTGCAGGGCCCCGCCCAGCCCCAGCTTCCAGCACCATGCAGAGTCCAGGCATCGCCTGGTACTAGACAGAGGGCAGTGTCAGGACCAGAGGGTGACCTCCACATCGCGACGCGGCCCGCAGGGTCGCCACAGCTCGCGAGGACTTACCGCTCCTCCGTATCCCGGGTAGGCCATGACCAGCCGACCAAGAGTCACGAGTCACCCGTAAGTCAACGTCAGCGCTGCTGCGAGGAAGGCACAGGTGTGCGACAGGTGCCGAAAGGTCTGAACGCTGTGACTCGCACCTCGGCTCCCCGGAGCCCGCTGCGCCTCTGGAGCCCCGCCCCTACCCGAGTCAAGCCCCGCCCACCAGGGCTGTGATTGGTTGCAGCCTGTCTCATGGATTCTACTTCATCTCTCTTACTGGCTCTTTCAAGTTCTTACCAGAAGCCTCCTCCACAGTCATTTCCCCACCCTCTGTGGAAAGCTTCTCTAGGCTATCAACTCCTAGAGTTCCCTCTCTGTGTAGAAACCCCTGAGCCAACCCGCCTATGACTTCTTTTAAGCTATCCGTAGTTCTTTTGACCAGAGAGTTGCAACTTTGCAGTTGCCCCCAGTTCTATAGAGTGTGGACGCGGCAACAGAACTTTGAAACCTTGACCATAGCTGTGCTGCATTTGATGCCCAGTGTGAGAAAAGAGTATTTGTCAATTTGTAGTGGTGGCCGCAGTTACCAGAAGTAGCAAATAAAAAATATAGGAGGGTATCTGGTTGAATTTGATTTCGGAATAGATTTTAAAAATTATGTGTGTTCCAAACACTGCGTAGGAATATACTTCAATTTCTTTTCTTTTTTTTTTTTTCTTTCTTTCTTTCTTTCTTTCTTTCTTTCATTCTTTTTTTTTTTTTAAGAATGCTGTTTACATGCATGGGGTCTTCGGTTATTTGTTAACTTTACCGGTGATTCGACTTTTAAGCAATCTCTTAAGACTTGCTGCCTGATTCTAAATATCAAGAGAACAACTTTGTTTTTATCATTTGACAAAAAAGCAACAACCAGCCTGTTTTCTTCTGAAACTCATGGATTTTGTGTCTCTGAGTTTAGAGTTCAGAAGAGCAGTGCAGCTGTTAGAATTAGCTTACAAACAAAAGGACGGAGTTGATACCATTTCTTTCTGAAAAAGGAAAACCCTAATATTAAAATAAATAAATAAATGAGACTGAAACTGTTATGTATTAACAGAGGAAATCAGCCTTGCCGAGAAGTAATTTAACAATCGTTCTGCTGTACTACAACGGAAGGACATTCTGGGCCTTGTGAAACTATTTTATCAGAAGAGGCCGAAAGTTGCTAATATCCACCCTACCATTGAGAAAGTGTCAGTTTCTGCAGCAATAGCTGTGTTTGTAGCTAATATTGGGATATATTAAAAGAGAAGCAGAATAAAAGCCTGCTTGATAAAATCAGAGTGTGACTCACAGGGTACCAATTGATAAACTGCTGGCAGAAAAAATCATGCCAAGTTTTATTCTAATTCACAAATCGCATATTCAAAGTGCTTAGGAAGGGCTGTTTGTAGTTACAACACTAATGTAAAGTTAAATCAGAATTCCTCTGTACCTTTTTTTTTTTTTTTTAATCAAACTAGTTTCATTGATGCATTGTTTTTATGCTGGGAGTCAGAGCTCCATAGGTCTGTTGATTTCTGCATGTTAGCTTTCAAAGACAGTACCCACCCCACCCCACCCCACCCCAGGATACAATTTGAGGAGTTTGCTAACTGCCCTTTTAAAGAGACTAAACCTACCTAACCACACACTTCCTCCAGTGTGATAGCAAGCCCACTGCTTACGTAACTGAGGCTCTCTGGGAAGCTCCCACTGGTCCAAGGGACCTGCGCTCAGGCCCCTATTGTACTTTCAGTAATGAAGTCCTTTGTTTCTGATCTAGGCTTCCTGTGCCTCTCTGCCAACTTGTATGAAAACTGGCAAGCTTGTTATTAGCTTGCAAGTAGGACAAAATACCAAATCCTGATAATGTATCTTCCTTAGAGAAAAGGGGTGGAGATACATAAAGTATTTTTCAACACCACAGCCTACAGTAGGCTTTATAAACCAAACATTTAAACCACAAAGTTTCCAGCATTATAAACTATATTTTAAACAAATTCACATTAGCCCACAAACTATTTTAAAAATAATAATAACTTGTCTCCATGATTCAGTTAGCATTGTATAAGCAACAGTTTTATGAAGATTATATATGTGTATTTATATATCAAATAATGTGGAATTTATCAAATATACATGTGTGTGTGCTTTAAATCGTATGTTTTTCTATTCATAACCTGTTCCTTATTCTTCAGCATGGCTTTCTGTGTAGGTTGAACAACACCAAGTAATGGGAACTGTAAGCTACAAAGTCTTATTCCTCAACATAGGACTATATCCGGCATGTACTATCTTTTTTACTAGAGTAAAAAGTAAGGTGAGCTATAATTTCACTTACCCACTTATACACAACTGGTATCAGAGATGAAAGTAGAATTCAGACAGTTTCCCCATATAGTCTTGTAATTTTTTTCCTTCCCTCTCTGCCTCCAACTATAACATTTCAAAATATAACAGGAAATTTTTACAGTAGTAAAAAGAAATTTTTTAAAGAATATAAAGAATGACAGTAGTTGGTGGCGCATGCCTTTAATCCCAGCACTTCAAAGGCAGAGGCAGGTTGATCTCTGAATTCGAGACCATCTTGGTCTAGAGAGTGAGTTCCAGTTACACAAAGAAACAATGTCTTGTGTGTGGGGGAGGGGGGAGATAATAGTAAAAATAACTAGGCAAACAAAAATGAAAACATATTACTTTGACCAAGAAAAATCAACCTCCAAATAATCAATCTAACCACTTATCTAATATAAGATACATGTTTTCTGATAGCTATTAACTTCACTTGATTACAGTTATTTAGATGTCTAATCCCAGCCCTGGGGAGACAGAGACAGACAGATCCCTGAGGCTGACGAGCACTAGCCAAGCATGATAGGCAAGCTCTGGGCAAGTGAAAAACTGTCTCAAAACAAAAGGGGGCACTGACTAACTAAGAAAGAGTACCTAGGTTGTTCCCTGGCCTCCACATGCACAACCCACCACCAGCTTCTGCCACACAACCATGTGTACACACACACACACACACACACACACACACACACACACACAGCAGGACATACTGGTCATTTTTAGTTTTCCATTTAATTGTACATTGAAGACTGAAGAATTTGTTTATTTTAGATGAGGCCAAATCAATAGTCACTACTGGAATTATTAGGTCTGAGCGTCTGTGAGAACAAGAATATACTATGTCAGATATGTTGTTGAATTTAGACTGCTTGGAATGACATTTTAGCTGGTAAGGGTGGCTTCCAGCCACCCAGCCTCCTAATGGACTATGTTATTCTCCTCTTCAGAAAGAGTACCTGTGAGAAAAGGCTGAAAACTGTATTTTATAAGAAGAGGGGACTACTCCAAAATGCCCCTGTAATGAAATTGAGTTGTTAATTCATATAATGGAAACAAAAGTGATCTCCAAAAGTAATGACTTTTTGGCATCACTACCTCTAAAAATAATGAACAAGAAAAATAGCACTGTGACCCAGTAGACTGAAAGTATATCCTATTAGATATGCAAAGTAATTCTGATAACTTTAAATCTATGTAGCACTTGAGAGATTACACACACAGCAACTCTGTTAGCTCAGGCTTCTATGGAAATAGATCCCAGCGTTGGTGGATCAAACAATAGGAAGTCATTTCTCTTAGTTCTAGAAACTGGCACTTTGAGATCAAGATGCCCTGGAGACATGATAGGTTTGTCCTTGAGTTGCAGAAAACTGTTTACTCCCTGTGTCCTAATATCATGTTTGTTTGGTGGAAGAGGATGGAAAAAGAAGCAGAAATGCCACAGTGGCTCCACCTCGATGTTTATTTATTTACATTATGTAAAGTGCACTCACGTGTGAATTTCTTAAGTATATGTGTTTGTGTACACATAGTTATCCATGCTTTTCTCCAGAAATTAACCTGTATAATTTTATGTGCTATTTGTCAGTAAAATCAACAACATAAAAATGAGGCCACTCGGTTGCAATTTTGTTAGAAGTTCACAATGGCTTTTTTTTTTTTTTAACAGCTAAGTAAAGGTCCACCAGTGAAGACAGAGAGATAGGGAAGTAAAAGAAGTCCTATTTTCCATTTATTGTATCAACCAACCACTTTGAAACTGACCTTTCTAGAGCTAAGCTTTCAACAACAGTTTTCTGCTTCTAATTCTAGTAATATTAAGTACTGCGTTGGCAGAAGCACAAACTTTAAAGCAATTTAGCAAATCGGGCACATATGAGAAGTGTCAACAGGGCTCTTCACAAGGCTTCTGAATACACACATCCTGCCTTGGTTGTTTAGCCCTGTTAAGCAATTTGGATTCAGTGCAAACTCTTAAGAAATATTGATCACAATATGTGTACACAGCTAAGGCTCAACATGAGCTGAAACACCATAATTAGTAACCCTGGGAAAGCGATCTGCTGCTTGGACAAGACTAGAAATATGTCTGAGGTAACTTTTAACTCCAAGCTGCACGCTTGTGGCTATAGATTGTGTACAGATGCTGTAGTTTCCTACACTTGAAGAACTGAGTCCATAGAACTTTGTAAGTTAAACATGTAGTTTTCAAGTACTTATGCCCATTTGTTAGTGATTTGCTTAAAAATAAATGTCAGTTATACCTATGTTGAAACATTAAAAATAATATCATCAAAAAGTGCTCTGATTCTTAAATAGATTATGAGCTGCCTTAAAAATCCTCAAATGCTGTGTGGGATATGTGAAATAAGATCACCCCAAATTTGTAGAACTGTTAGTGAGAATAGCCAGGTAATAAGAATGAATAAATTGCAACCCACTTATGAATATAGTATTCAATGCCCATACAGTTTTATGTGCTTTACCATGTTTGACCTCTATATAACTGTCTTGTGAAAGGCAAAGCCCTAGCAACACTATAGAGAGAAACTGGGTGTTAATAAATGTCCTTCCTAGGGAATACAGATCAGAGCAGTTAACCCATATTTTTTAAATAAAGCATGGCCTGATTATTCTTTGCATGAAGCACATGACAGCCCATAGTGATTATGTAGTTTCAAATAGGTAAGTGGAGTCCCATTCTTAGATCTTTTAAAGTGACTTAAAATGTGATAATGGAGTGGTAAGATATTTAACCAAAGTTAAAATTTTAAACTAAACAAAAAGTAAACACCTAGCTTCTTTTCTTCTTGAATGTA